AGATGTAGTCCAGTTGTCGAGACTCACGTGGTGAGTACTTGTCCGAAGAAGAGCTTAAGGAGAAAGTAAGTGGTATATGGTCGGTAAAAATGGTAAATTCACGGCCTTCGATGTAGTGTTGAAGATGCCGGACAGCACAATACATGGCTAAGAGTTCCCTACCGAATGTGCTGTACCTCGATTCAGTGTCTAGCAACCGTCTAGAGAAAAATGCCAAAGGTTGCCAGGATTGGTTAACCCATTGTTGTAAGACTGCTCCGATTGCTGAGTCGGATGCGTCTACTGCGATGCTAACGGGCGCTTTAGGGTCCTGATGAGCAAGCATTGCTGCTCGGGCGATATGTTCCTTAACCGTGGAGAATGCTTTTCTGGTAGTGTCATCTAGATTAATGGATTTCGCAGTTCCACGAAGTTGGTCGGTGAGAGGTTTCATAAGTAACGCGCATTTCGGTATGAATCGTCTATAAAAACTTACCAGACCGTTAAACGTGCGCAATCGCTTGATGGTGGTCGGTTCTGGGTAATCCAGAATGGCCGCCACTTTCGTTCTAAGGGGTCGAATGCCTTGCGCATCTATAGTGTGTCCTAAGAAGTCTAAGGATTCGGTTCCGATTTGGCATTTCTGAATGTTCACGGTAATGCCATGTTTTTGTAGTCGGTCGAAAACAAGGTCCAGATGCTGGAGATGTGATTCGCTGTCCGGACTTGCTATTAGACAGTCATCAACGTATGCATGTACGAAGTTGAGACCTCGGAAAACGTCATCTATGAACCTTTGGAAAGTCTGTGCCGCGTTTCTCAGACCGAAAGGCATTCGCAAAAATTCATAGAGTCCGAAGGGCGTTATAATAGCGGTTTTTGGAATGTCTTCAGCGGCCATAGGAATTCGGTTATAAGCTTTTACCAAGTCAATTTTTGAAAAGACAGTTGCAACTTTCAAGGTAGCTGTCAAATCGTGAATGTGAGGCAACGGGTAACGATCGGGAATGGTTTTTGCATTCAATCTCCGATAGTCACCAGTTGGACGCCAATCGTTGCTGTCCTTTTTAGGGACCATGTGCAACGGAGATCCCCATGGGCTATTTGACGGTCGTATGATTCCTAAGTTTATCATATGGTCGAATTCGTTTTTCGCCAACCTTAACTTTTCGGGGTCCAGTCGGCGTGCCTTCGAGAAGACAGGTGGTCCTGTAGTCGTGATGTGATGTGTAACATTGCTGGTTACACACGGCAATTTCGGCTGCGATTGGTAAACGCCAGAATATTTATCGAGTAGTGGTTGGTAGAAGGGGCCTATAGTGTGCTTAATAGTGACTGGAGATAACCTGCAACCAGAAAAAGAAGTCTGTCAAACAGATAAATTAGTGTTTCCGTCTACTAACCTCCGTTTGCGCGTATCGATAATTAAGTTGTGGTGTTGTAGAAGGTCCATACCAATGATTGGCATAGAAACATCTGCAACAACAAAAATCCAGTGAATGGGTTTGCGTAAACCCACGTTAAGATAAACATACCTTTGGCCATACGTAGCGATAGGCTTTCCGTCTGCCGCCTGTAGATTTAAAACAGGCTCGTGTAGCCTGTCGTCAGAATTCGCTGGGAGAACGCTAACCTCTGCGCCAGTATCTACGAGGTAGCGAAATCTCGTTATCACATCTGTGACATATAAAAGACGGCTATGTTCGCCGGCTACGGTCGCGGTTAACGCGTGTCGGCTTGGGAGTTTCCCGAAACGTTCTTCGCGTCGACGGATTTCGCGTTGGGAAAATTGCAGGGTTTTCTGCAATTTCTTGAGGACTTTCCGTACTGGTTATGGTACCAGCACCAATCAGGATTCTCCGTCTCTCGAGTTCTAGATACAGATCGCCTACGTGATGTGCTTCTCCGCGGGGTAAGTGATCGTTTACGATCGTTAGGGAGTTTGAGATAACGCGTAAGTGTATGACATAACTGTGTTATGTCATTCTGGGTCGTTTGAGGCTTTTCTTTGACTGAAAAAACCTCGGCGTTAGAAGACCTAGTGTCTGTGGCAGAACCGTGTTGCAGGTCGATGTTGTTAAGGAGTTGGTCTAACCTTTGTCGATCGGTTAGATCACCGCGTTTAAGGATGGCATGTTTGAGGGTTTTGTATGGGTCAGAAACATCACTAGTAAACACACTAGGTGTTACGTACCTGTTAAATTCGCGCGGTAGTGCCTTGACTACTGCGAGGAATTGTGCACGTGTGTCGTTCACACCGTGCTCGTAGAAGTCGGCTTCTGCGTAACAAAATCAAGCTTCGATGTTGTCTGGCCAGAAGGCATAAGTTGGAAGGAGGGTGAAGACACAGTCTTTAAGTCAAATACTTTAGGGGTCTGTTCAGTCATTGTAATATATCAAGTACGAAAAGTGAACGAGTGGCAAATATATATATAAACCCAAAAAAACGGGAAAAAATATCACAATGTTAAAAAAAATTAAAATAAGACAATGATATATAAAATCACAAAAAGGAACAGACACACAGTTTACAATATGGTGTACCAGATCACGTCGGGCTCACCAATGAAGATGCCACAGGTATTCGGAGTTTGACAACGCTCTAACCAGTAACACCTAATACGAAGCGCACCCACCAAGTAGAATCAAAAGACAGAAGTGAGGAGATCGAAGATATATTTGATAAGCTATCAATATATCGAGGATCGTTTGCACTAATCTGGCTAGCGATTGCGGCAGATGTTGAGCACGGCGTTCCCACACGTGATCTGGTGCGGATGCTTGACCGAGCGCCTTCAGCTAGATGAGTCCACTAAAACTGTGGTCAGCATCCAATGTCGAAAACTTACAGAGCTATTTGATTTTGGGGAATTATTTACCGCTACAAATATCTAAAACATAGAGGAGGTCAGCAGTGGTGAGCGCGGAAACAATTAATCGAAACGGCATGATCCCGTCACGTGGGCTTGATCACTCTCCGTAACCTCTTGCTTTTTGTACTGAATATATCACTTCCTTTCCAGCCTAAATGAGTTCTTTAGAACTGCTAAACGTCATTTCGCTGACTGTCAAGATAGGACGAGTTAGTGTGGATTATGATTTGACTTACACATACGATCTTATAGATTAGGTAGTCACATCAGGACAAATTTACGACCTTCGAATTTCAGTATAAAAAAACGATCAAAATGAGTAGTGTGCACGATAAATACATAAAACGAAAACCAGTATTAATTAAAATTGGAGAGAGTGGTGCATTTTTAAAGAGGGTTAATATCATCTTGAATTAATGTACTTTACAACCAAAATATGTAAAACGGTTTTCTGGATAAAAGTGTTGACCGAAACCTATGATAGGCTCACCGAGTTGAACAGGTTATTCTAGAAAGTCGTCGGGCTACGGCATACAAATACGATTTAAAAGATAGTACATAAAGAAGTGTATGAAGTTCAAAGTCCAATGCCATGTCAAATACGATTATATTTTCGAGTGTTAGATTGAGGTCTGAATTTAACCAGTAATTCTAGAAAGATCGATTAATTTTAATGATGCTTCTTGCGGCCCAGAACCACCTGGCACGTTATTGTATCCCTTTTTAATTGTCCGCCATATTAGTTTCTTTTTTCTCCGATAGATCTTCCAGGGTTTGAGACTTGTTGTTAAGAGCCATCTTGAATTTATTGAGTTTGTCAGTATGTCGAAAGAAGGCTGTATCAAAAATTTGTAGTGTTTTTCTCTAATTGTTTAGTGCTTCTTTAACTTCGGTTTTACCTTGGCCACAACTAGATGGTGATCTGAATCTATGTCAAGTCCTCCCACTCCTGATTTTCACGTCTTGGATTGTCCTTCGGCATTTTTTATTAATACAAATATGGTCTACCTAATTATGTGTAGTGTGATCCTGTGAGAACCATGTGGATTTGTATAGGTGTTTGTGGGAAAGTATAGTGCTATCTATAAACAATTTGGTAAATGTATATAGGTTTAAAAATCTCTCCAAATTTTCGTTTCTCTGTCCCAGTCAGTCCATGTCGTTCCATGATATCCTCACAATCGGTGTTCGTCATTCCGACTTTTGTGTTTAGACCTCACCATCAGGATGGTGAGGTCCATTCTCGGGCATTTCGATATGATCGATTTCAGCCTCTCATAAAACTGATCTTTGTCGTCATCACTGCTATCAACAATGGATGCATAGCATTGGATAATACTCATTGTGATTCCCTCCTTATTTGTTTTGAAAGATGCTTTGATGATCCTGGGTCCATGAGATTCTCATTCTATAATTGCTTTATGTGCCTTTTTGGACAGCATCAGAGAAGTTCCCTGAGTGTGTGGAACATCTTCGTAACCAAAGTACAGAGGCATCTCTCCCTTTCTGTCCAGCTTGGGTCCTATGGGTTTCACTGATTCTGAGTACCATAAATTTATATCTCCTTATTTCCATAACTATTTCATTAGTACTCCTAGTATCCCACATTGTCCGGACATTCCATCTACATATATAGTTATTGTTGCTCTGGTTGTTAGAAGGGGCATTGACCGCGTGACTTCCGAAGAATCTCGGCTTTCATCATGAGGTATCATAATTCTTTCTTCAACTCAGAGGACAGAGTTTAAATAGTTTGATTTGTCTAATCTGGTCAACGTTTTTTTAGAAAGGTTGTTCTCTACGGGATGTGTAAGCTGACCCCATGCCCAACCCTCCTCAATTAACCGGGCTTGGGACTGGCAGTAATTCTTGAAGAACTGCAGGCGAAGTTCAACAAAACTAGTCAAACTGTTTTTCTGAAGGAGTGACAGTCTAGCTGAATTCACACTGAAAAGGACAAAAACAAAGTTCGGGCCGTAAATAATAGATTTTGTGATTTTCGTACATCTCCGGACTATGGGAATATCTAATCTTAAGTTCCTTAAATGATTGATGACTGCAGTTAGGTAGTGTATGAGAAAGCTGATAACTTCTCTGCTGTGCTATATTTTGTCGACCGTGAACCAGTTTTCTGCGTGTCGATATAGTCTCGTATCCTACTCATATGAGAAAGGGTCTGGGATACATTTGAATTATCGAACATTGATAAGGCCAGATTCAACTACTAGTGGTATCTTCGTTTTTCACCTCGTATTGGTCTAAAAGTTTGCTAAAGGGTTGTACGATACTTGTGAAACAAATTAGAATTGTCATATGAAATCACTAGTAAATACTGCAACGGTGCTGAAATTTTTAAAATTACGCTAATGTTTATCAATCCTTGACAGAAACTTAGAGTTTATTATCTCATGCATTTGAGAATACCTAATGACGTAATAAAGTTTTTTAGACCGGATAATACGCAGTCGCAGCTTGTTAGCAAATTCCCAAGGTGTACTGATCCTGCAGGTAGACTCTGGAGGATGTATCCTAGTCTCCTTATTTTGGGGAAACCTTGGTGAATTCCGGGTAAATTTTAAAGTTTTCTCTAAAGTCGTAAAACTTTTGGTAGTTTTCCACCAAATTGGGCAAAGTTTTTGGTTTTCCACAAACATTTTGGGGATTTTCCTGGGGAAATTTTTTGGTTTTTTGTACCTTTCTCCCAAAGTATTTTATTGCAGCTTCCCCAGAACTTACGGAAAACAAATAAAAATTTTTTCCGAAAATAGCGAGATTGAGATGAAGGGACTAACAAGGTCGCGTAGTAGTTTCCGTTTCCGAAATGGTCTGATCGTATCATAACCATTGTCAGCCACACATGTGCGTACGAAGTTCTACGTTGTTACTGATTGACTGACTGACTGACACACGTATAATAGTTAATGTCCGGGTTAACTTTAGATCATTCATTTAAAAAGAATAGTCTTCAAACTACTAACTTTTGACACATTTAAATGACCTACCTGTTGTGTTAATGTCACTAGTGACATCGAAGTCATGACTTCATTATATGCTAACTGTTTTGCAATCTATAGTGATACAAATGCTCTGGTACGGCCGAGAGCGGGGAAAGTTTGATCTCCCTTTCGAAATGCTCTCATATGGCCACGCGTATACAGCCACTACCAGGGAAGTCCTACTCACCACATTCTCGTGGTGAGGGTGTTGTTTTCGAAATTGAGAGGACGAAAAGCGAGTGTTCGGCGCTTTAACCGGGTCGATGGATATGGAAGGTTCACTTGTGGGGTTGGAACACCTTGATTCTAAACCAATGGTGCACATGGGCTCCAGGATCCTGAAGGAACAAATGGCTTATGAACCGATTGTTGGTCATGGGACTGCATTTCCTTACGTGCTCCACTACCTTGTGGATTGGATCTTTAGGTTAAAGGCTCCGGGTGTGGTCCCCTTAGAAAACCAATTGCCTCAGTCTGGGCACCCGGATAGTAATATAACTCACACAAATCAATGATAACTGCTACTGACCTCATTATTATTGTCTGGCGCATATATATGTTTGGTGCCCCCTTGTACCAATATTTCTGTGTTCAAAATAATAAATAATAATGCAAAATTTAGGATTGGATGTAATAGCTTTAAAATCACTCAAACTTTTCAGCTGAGCGGTCAAATATGACGAAATGTATGTCGGTTCATATTGACCACCGAATCTAGAATTTATTTATTTATTTATTTTAACACATAAGTACAGGTACAGGGAGGTACCAAATACATATGCGCCACACAAATCTCAATTGATTTGTGTGAGGGCTGTGATACTGCTCGGGTGCCCAAACCGAAGCAGGTGGTTTTCTTAGGGGGCCACACCCTGAGCCTTTGACCTGAACGTCTGACCCACAAGGCAGTGGAGCATCGTAAGGAGATGCAGTCCCATGGTAGCCGGTGACCAACGATTGGTTCATACGCCATTTGTTCCCGCAGGATACTGGAGCCCATGTGCACCATTGGTTTGGGGTCCGGTTAAAGCGCCAGACATTCGCTTTTCGTCCTCTCATTTTTGTAACCAACACCCCCGCCACGAGAAGGCAGTGAGTAGGACTTCCCTGGCAGGGGCTATGTACGCATGGCCATGTGAGAGCATTTCGAGAGGGAGAGCGGACTCTCCCCACTCTCGGCCGTACCAGGGCATTTGGGTCGTAGTCATTACAATTGATTTGTCCACTACACTGGGCCTTGCTGTAGTCTGCTAGGATTAAAGATCTAAAATTCACTGTTCACTTGGGTACAGACTGTAAGTGGATTTAAGACGCTTTGAGCAATATTCAGTGTATTTAGTTATCTAGGTACAGGAGCCTTATGGAGCACTAACTTATATCGATCGTCACATTTTAAAAGCCTATGTACCAACTAGCTGTAACTACGTAGCCATTCTTAATGTCATGTGGTTCTAGTTTTGGTATCGTCCCAAAAGGTTACGGTATTTTCTATTTTTATGCAACGTACTTTTCGAGTCATAATATACCATACACGAATTAAAGCCCATCTCATGTTTGAGGAGTAATCCACTACACTTTCATCGAATTACCTCAAAAAATGGGCAAAAGATAAGTATAAGACATATTAACAATTGATGTCCGCTGAACAAATAGCCACAACAATGTTGCCCAGTGGCAAACACTATGTTAATGATGTTTGTTTAGTTAATATTATTTTTAAAGACAGTATGCTCTAAGATATAATCTCTAGTAATTTCAGCATTAGAATACAGATACATTCATCTAACGAGCACCAAGTTGGATAAGTTATGTCTTGGATTCCACTAGTGGCCTCTATCGATTTCAATCAAGATAAGTCTACAAGTAGTATTGAAACATTACTATTGAAATCTTATACAGTAACCAGACTAGTTAATTCCTGCGAAGAATCAGTGGTAATAATTTACCCACTCATTTCTTGGCGTAATTATTAAGATAAAAAGGGATTTAAATGATGAGCATTCCATCAGGATCTATTATAGGTTTCCTCTTATGCCACGGCTCGTTGAAAAACAACGAAATAAGGGGATTTTGCTACCAATCACTGTTGCATACGTTTTCTCAAAGTTTGTGTTTTAGTTCATGTTGTTAATTGTACTCAAATCTTCAAGGCTTAATGTCTGCGTACCAGCTGGTTTGGGCAGGAATTCAAGCAGTTGGATGTGTCCTCTTCTAATGCTGTACTGGCAAATTTTTGGTGTAGATATTTGTTTATGTGGTTGCTAAATTATCTGTTCGTTTGTCAACCAAAATAAAAGCTGTAGGACAATTTATTATTTCGTATTATCAATCCTAAGTCAATACTTGATTTTAAGTGGCAGTGACATTTATGCATTACTTTCGTGTGGTATAACCAATGTATGAGAGATTTCAGAGTTAGGCGTAAGTTTTTCACACGGGAAGTAGTTCATCCAATAAAGTCATAAGCTTGCATCAAATGAATTAGGTGGAACACCTTATTCATGCAACTAGTTGTTTTATACTTTCTACGTTCTTGATCACACCTAATAATTGGTGTCTGGTAAAGTATAATTCGCCCTATTAAAGGACGCGATTTCCAAAACGAGTCCTAAGAATGATATCTATCCGAGGCTTTTATATCCCACAAACTTCGCGATTATTATCATGTGGCTAAACCGAATAACTTCACAATTGCAAATACAGTATAAAAGATGAATAATTTACAACCAAAATCGACATGAAACTTTTTTAAAAACCTCATTGATTCAAAAAGATATTCCTTGCATATAGCTTTAGGCTTTTGGCGATTTTATCAAGAGCCAGCTTTCAAATGGAGTTGTTTGTATCCTAGATTATCGCGTTAATTTAATATACCTGACTGTTCTAATCGAAAACAAATTGTTTTTTTAAACTTCCCATAAAAAACGGTATTGTCGTCTCACCCTTATCAAATTATTTGTCTTAGTGATCACCCGCATTCCAAAGCTTTTTCTCCTTTCGTGTCCATGAGTCTTTGTTCTTTTTTTTAAACATGGGATCTTCATTTCAACTAATCATTCCTGTTTAACAATTTTAGTCTCATGTTGAATATGTGATGCAATGGATTCATTTTTACGTCATGCAGCTGAAGCCCTTGTGAGTTATTCTTTGTTTGTATTATTGAATACGATAATTAAATTTCGATTTAATTTAAGATAATTATTATTGTTCGATATTTTTAGCATTCGAGTTGCAAAAGTAAATGGATTCTTGTTGTTGGAAATGAAGCATGTGATCTAGATAGTACAGCATGTGCACTTGCCTATGGATTTTATAAACAAATGGTAAGTCGAATTACTTATTCCTTTCTTATATATATTTATGTAGAAGCTTGAAAATGAGTTCATTGTTATACCTGTATGTAGTATCAATAGAGAAGATATGGTTTTACGCACTGAAGTTACCTTTTGGCTTACTCAATGTGGTCTCAAATGGGAAGAATTGATTTATCTGGATGATGTTTTTAATGAAACCTATTCAAAAGTGAATGAAAATGAATTATCTTTGATTCTAGTTGATCATCATTTACCAACAAAAAAGCTTAATGAATGGCCAACCATTGAAATAATTGATCATCATCAGTTAGTTAATAATGAAACCGTTGAAAATTGTCCTTTTAAGCAAATTGATCTTGTCGGATCCTGTGCCACTCTAATCACATTCGAAATTTTGAAAGGAATGGATGGTAATTGTTTACCAAGCAATGTATGGAAGTTGCTTTATGGTACTTTAAAAATGTATGTGTACTTAATGTTACATTTTTGTAGGTGCCATACTTATTGATACAATCGGACTTTCTAATGCTGGTCAAATGGCTGGACGATTAACAGAATTAGATCTTCGCATGGCTAATCGTATCGAAGATATTATTTACAACCAGATTTTCACTCCAAATGCTTCAAGAAATTCCTTATTTACTCAACTGGAAACAGCAAAATTTACTGTTGATGGTAATGTTATTATTATTAGATACACAACTTATTTATTCACTGATCAAATCATTTGATGCAAAGTATTTCGAAAGTGTTGTTCAGCATATCTTATAATCAACTAAATAGTACACTTAGCTCTTAGCGGTTAAGTAGACACATGACTGTTTACACTATCGTTGTATAGGTTTGTAAATGGTGATGATGATTATGCCATTAATGTAGTTGCTTAAGTTGATAAACCAACTAGGACATTTTGAACTCATTACGATTCGCTTGATGTGCGATTATTGATTATAAGAGTTCGGTGCTCCAATATAACAATCAGAAATTATTTTTGTACTTTTTGAAAGTACCAAACTTTTTCTATACTTCTTAAAATGGCAGATAATTTCAAAATAGTTAAGTTTGCAAATGTTATTTACGAAAGGAATCTCATGAAGTTAATCTGTTTAATTTTAGACGATAATTTGCTGTTAATTTTTTGAATACATATTCCACAGCTAGAAGGTATAAACAATGTATTAAAATTTCTTGATGCTTTTGTCACGATTATGCACGTCTTAGCTGATAATGACAAACTGGATTCGCAATCAGAAAATCTGATCAAAATACTAGGCAATCAGCACATTTATCTTGTGAGTGTATCCTTTATTCGGCATATTCTAAATGTTAGATAGAGGGATGCAAATAGATGCCTTGTGTTGATCAAGCTCAATATTTAAGGGTTTTTGTTGTATCAGTTGACTGATGTTTGGTACGATAAGGAATTCTCGTCATACCGTACAAAATACTGGAACGGATTTTTATGTATTTACATCTTAATTTCAGTAATCGTGTGAATATATATACATTAAAAATATCTTTACATTATTGAATATAAGCTACTTATCTTGAGTCGAAAACATTTCTGATTAGTATTTCCTTTACAAAGTTTTCGTCGCACTGTTTTTATATCAAATAAGTTTTTCTTAGAGCCTTAGTATTCCCATATACGGTAATAGATTCAAGTGCACTTATGTTATCTTATTCCAGATGATAGATTATAGAACAGTTGTAAATAAAGCAGTTGGCTTATAGTTGATATAGTAACAGTAGTCAATTGGTGGCAAAATTTCAAAGGCCGTTTCATGACATGTACTTAAGTCTAAAGGTTCATCACTAATAGGTCATATATAAGAATTGACAAATTAAGAAAGTGAATGTTGGGTAAACCAAAAGCCATCCTCTTTATGGCAATATTTAAACGGAAACATTTCTTTCGTATTGGTAAACATGAAAAGACGATGATAAATCGAAAGAAAATTTGAAATCAAAATAATTAATGGTAAATATAACTTTTGTCAGAAAGTCATTAACCATACGGATTTCATGCAACTCTAACGCGGTTCTCATTTCCATTTTATGCATAAAACTATAATTAATGGTGTTATATTCCAAGCGATGGAATATAAGGTCATTGAAAAGAGACTATTAGCATCCACCTGCTCATTTCAACGCTGGCAAAGCTGATATATAGGCAGTAAGATAATTCGCATATTTAGTACTTTATTTATTTTATTTATTTGAACACATAAGTATTGGTACAAAGGGACATCAAATACATATATGCCACACAATAACAATGAGAATGTGACGAGATAGAGAATGTAAGTTGCGTATAAGAAAAAGGGGAACGATAACGAACAGAAATTAGCGTATGATAGTGACATAATAATAACGCGAGAAGCAGTTAAATTAGAAAAGGTACAACCAGAAAGAGTTCTAGTTAAAGAAGTTACGTCCATTTTTCACGAAGAAAGTAAAATAAATTTACAGCAGGATCGCCACTGGCTTCCATTCTGAGTTATATCTGATAACGTTCCAAGCCATTGTGTTGCTCCAAGCCAAGGAGTCGTGGAAAACCAACAGAAGCCAATCCTGTACATCTTTATTTCATACCACGACACCATGTCATACACTGACCACCTTTCCGCTTTTTCCAACCAGTCCCAGCGTCGGCAAATAATGCACGACGTGGAATTGTCTGGGACGACATTCGTAGAACATGTCCAAGTCACCGAAGTCGATGTTTCAAGATGGTGACACCAATTGGATTGTCGTATCTGCGTCCGAACACACGATGCCGAACCTCTGCATTACTAACATGGTGTTGCCACTGGATGTCAGCAATCCTTGGGAGACAGCGATGATCGACTACAGGATGTTAATAAACTTCTCAGGCACATCCTTCTTTAATAGACAATCCCAGAGAACAGTGCTGTCCAACAAATCGAAGGCAGCCCTGATGTCAAGAAACACTATTGTTAATAATTATAACTGTGTTCTAACATGTAGCGGAAGGTGGAGAAATGACCAATACATCCTCAACCAGAACGAAAACCAGATAACTGTTGCATAGGTGACGTGAACTCTTTTTAAAGATAGGGACAATTATCGACTCATCCCACGATGTTAGGACACTCTAATTGCTAAACCTTTGTAAATAACACAGTCAGTTCGTTAACCAGAAAGTCACCACTATCTTTAAAAAGGACCAGAGGTAAGCAATATGGGCCAGGTGATTTGTAGCGCTTCAAGAGTTGCAGTTCCTTGCGGACTTCCTCCTCATTCGGTGGATCAGTTGTCACAGGTCATGGAGGGCAGGATAGTCTAATCGATGTTGCCGGGGCAGCAGACCAGTTGAACTGACTCCCGAAAATTTCTGCCCATCGTACAAGACATCGATAGATTGTTTCGCTCACACCAGACGTTTTGCTGCCAGTGGTTCGGATGAGTTGAAAGAGCTTCCGGCAGTTACCAGATGTAGCTGCTGCTTCCAACTCATTGGCACGCTCTGACAAGGCTTCACAATCCTTATTCAAGCTTTGCCTAATTTCATTACGTAACAGTCGTAGTTTGTGGTCGAACTCACGGTCCTTCGGAGTAGATGGATAGGCTTCGATGAGTTGTAAGGAGCCAGAAGAAACCCAATGCTTATAAGCGAAACGTTTCGTAGAGCCGCAAGCGACTCGCCATTTTCCTGACCGTTGTTGCTACCTTGACGTGGTGGTCGGGCTTGCCTATCGTGATGAAGCAACTGAGCTATACTGGCTGGAACAACCGTTCCTCAAGGTCCTACCATGCCAGACAGGTCGGTTGAAGAGCGGTAAGACTAAAAGCAACAAAACCAAGGTCCGAAGGCGAAGTCGTACTGCTGACTGTACAGAGGTGTGACAGCAGTAAGGTGTTTCCTTCAGACAACCAGCATGACAGCGATGCTGCCTTCCCACAAGGAGGGGTGGGGTTAGAAAAGGTCGACCCTAAAAATGCACACCTCGCCTTATCCCACGGATATCCGTCTCCGGCGGTAAGGACTCAACAAGTACGGAGCTAACACAAAAATCACTCATAAAAAGGTCGTGTGTGACCGACCTCAAGCAGCTGTCCCTTGGGCACTGCGGTCACGCTCTCAGGTCACAATGACCAACTCTAATCCAATTTCCTTTTCAGGTACCTCCAGAAGAACCCTTCCACGGTGTGGGCAACCGGAAAGTGATAACCGCCCTCATACCTCTAACAGCACTCAAGACTCGCCATTTCCATGACGTCGTGCAATTGCAACCAGTGTTCATCTCTACTTTTCGGTGGGATGTTAGCTAGCCTTGAACCTAACAAACAAGGGCATGATCAGAGTTCAGATAGGTACTCCAAAAGAAGCGGCGGTCTTGTACACAACCACGCCGGTGGTAGCTGGTCTCGATGTGATTAATCTGAGTCCAGGCTTGAGATGCAGAGGGAGGGCACCAGATGGTACATCGGCAATGACTGTACCGGTAGTTGATGCTAACGAAAAACAGGTTGTGGTCTGCGCAGAGTTGCAGTAGACGGTTCCCGTTATCTGACCTGCGACCAACAAGTCCCCATCGGTCACTTGTGTCTAGACGCCCGGTTAGTACTACAATATCCGTCAAACGCACTTTCTGGATAAGTACTTTTAATTGGTGGTAAAACTCATCCTTGTAGCATCTGGGATGCATTCTGTTGGAGTATAGGCAGATATGACGAAAAAACAGCGTTTCTCACACCGATTTTTCCTACTTTTATGGAACTTTCTAATCTAACAGCACATAAACGATTGTTAATGGGGACCCAATTGGTCAGTACTGCCTAAGCTCTAGCGCTTAGTGCTACACCAGCTTCAGCAAAACCGGAAGAAAATGCCACATGGTCCCCGGGTGAACGCACGTAAAACAAGCTTTTCAAAGCGACGGATGGAAAGCGAATTTGTAGTACTTCACTAGTCTTAAATACGGGTCTCAGATAGACAACAGACGTCGATAGTAAGACTTTCTAAACACATAACCAACCCTATCTGTTATCCGGTCTGCATTAGTGTGCGAACGTTAAAGGAAGCCAGTTTGAATGGTATATGTGGTTTCAGAAAGACTGTTTCGTTATTCGTATTCAGTGGTAGCACTCAACTTTCAGTGACTTAAGATCTTCTAGATAGAACAGCGTTTCCACTATAGGCGAGCTGCTGTATAATGTGAAAAATAAGGATACACAAAGTAAGAATAGAAGAGAGTAGATAAGTGACTTAGTATATAAAAAACTAAAAATGAATGTTATCAAGTGGATGTGAGTTGTCTGAATGTTAATTGGAGCGAGAATAGTATTTTCAGTAATTATTGTCATTTGATTTGTGTGAGGGCTGTGATACTACCCGGGTGCCCAGACTGAGGCAAGTGGTTTTCTAAGGGGACCACACCCGGAGCATTTGACCTAAAGGAGCAACGTAAGGAAATGTAGTCCCATGTGCACCATTGGTTTAGAATCAAGGTTTTCCAACCCCATAGGTGGACCCTTCATGTCCACCAACCCGGTTAAAGCGCCGGACATTCGCTTTTCGTCCTCTAAATTTTGTAAACAACACCCTCACCACGAGAAAGTAGTGAGTAGGACTTCCCTGGTAGTGGCTGTATACGCGTGGCCATATGAGAGCATTTCGAAAGGGAGATCAGACTTTCCCCACTCTCGGCCGTACCAGGGCATTTGGGGACATGTTTAGCATTAACTAGTGTTAGAAGAAAATGATAGGTCACTCGGAATGACGTATTACTTGATTCTTCTTCTTCACATGGGTTTATTTTCTTAATATAAATTACAGGTTGAGATATGAAAATAAAGGATAGTTCTGTTACATTTATTTCTGACTTGTCAGTGTTATTATGGAATCCTTTCTATTTCACACTGATGTCTGAGTGGTATTTTAACTCATATAAACTCATCCTGTGTGTATTAGATGTCAGAGATTTGTCTTTTTATGCTTGTATCACAACACTGATTTGTCTTATTGTGTTGTATAAGCTTAGTAAATCTGCAGTGATAAAATACTTTTGAATTATTACTTTAACTGTTTTGTCTATTTCATGTTAAACTTAACTAGACTTATTGGGTGAGGATTTGGAAAACTGTAATTTGATATTTCATATCGGAATTAAGCCCGTATGCGTTTAAACTTGTAGAATTAATCAGCAGATGATTGTTCAAAATCATTTAGTCATCATTACTTTTGAAGAGAATATAATTACTGCGTGGTTATAATTATATGAGGTCTAGTGTTAATTATATGTTGGAGTAATAAAACTCCATAACATAACACTTTATTTGATAAAAATTAAAACCACTTTTAAATAAATTTAGGAAAATCTTAAAATTTTCCTACATATAAGCCGTAGTTACGATTAATTATATAATTGTTCATTTTTATTTTTGAATTATTTTTGTACAGGGCTATCTGCGTGGGATTTATTACGTCGTGACATGAAAATTGTTTCTAGTCCAAATAAAGATGCGTTCCAATTTGTGTGCTCTACTGTATCTGGAGTTGATTTTACGGTAAGCTGTGAGATGTATGATAGTGTTTATTAGTGCCAACTGGTAGTTGTCTATCAGTTTAAGCCTTTTTATGGGTTTACATTTAAAACTGTTACAAAGTATTTTTATCTTTTGAATGCTGAACAATAAGCAGTCAGTTTGTTTAGTTGATGTAAAACGTATTTTCCATTGGGATTTGGCTTCCATCGCTCACGAACATCAGTTACAGAATCATTGGAAACTAAGACATGATACTGGACAGATGCCTCTTTCTTGTTTGGAACTCGGTAGTAGTCACTTAGAATCATGTCAAGAAGTAAACTGAAGATCTTTGCGTTTTGCGATAAGCGCAATACGTTTTGGGCCTGTCGTTTTGAGTTCAGTGGTCTAAATTTTTAACTCCATTCATTTCACAATATTTCATAACCATCTGTCTGCATTCTGATACAATGATTAAGCTCAGTTGACTCAATCAATCAGTTTTCCTTTAAAACTTCGATAATGCATCTTAAAGCTAGGTCATTAATGGGAACACAACCTTGGTAACATAAACGGTTTGTGGAGATTGTTCATTTTAGAGTTAGTTTTCATCTTTGTCTGGAATCCCATACTAAAACTAAACATCTGGTCGGTACTTTTTGGTTTTCGATGGTTCATCAATTGATATCGGTCTGTTTACTTGTTGGAGTCCATTTTACTCAATTATTTTTTGCATTGAAGTATATATTTTAATCAAGAGTGGGAGAATTCATAAATTCTGTTTAGTGGATTACAGTACATTAAAAGTCGTCCACAGTTATTTATACTCAATAAGGTTTGCTTAAAGTTTAAGTTTTCAAGATTTGTCAATACTAATTTGAAAGCGGTTTTTTCCTAAATTCTGGAGAAATGCCACTAACGGTGAAATCAAAACATTTTTAGGTATAAAATGTTTGCAAAATGACTAAGGATCAATGAGGCAATACGCAACTAAGTTGGTTCAGTTTCCATCTATCTGTTAGACTTTCATATAAACACGAAAGTGCTATAAGGAACTTAGAGATGTATGATATTTGCATTATTTGACTTCCTACCACTGATGTGGATGTTCAAAACATTCTCTGCCTATTTTGATTTGGACAGATAAAGGTTACACTATTTTTCTAGACATTACGTCAGTAATACTCTCAAGTAAACTCGTTCTATTCGTGAAATTTTCTGTTTTATTAATCATAAAGTTTTTATTCAAATTCGCCATTGTAAAGCTAAATTTTAGGCTGTTTTCCGAATTATTTTCTTTCATTAGATGTTAATTAATTCTCCTGACTTTACTGAAGCAGCCAATCGGATATGTGCTAAATATAATGCCAGTTTACTTGTTTGTCTTACTGTTGGTTATCCCTTATCGGAAAGTTCATCGATACCTTCATCAGAGTTGACAACTTTTCGAAGAAGAGCTCTGATTTTGTATAATATGAATTTTCCTGCTGGACGTTATAGCGATGCAAGTATTTACATTTAGTTTCATCTCATTAATTCTCGTCTGTGTTTATTTGTGGAGCTATGTGTAGGGAGTTTGTACTCAATGTAATTTATTTTACGCATACTAAATATAACACTTTAAATCAATACTAGGAAGTATTTATCGTCCCTATTAGGATTTTCTGTTACACTCCTACATGTTGTTCTGTCTCATAGATTTTATTGTCATATATTTATTGTTTTTGCTTACTTTCTACGGAAAGTCCTCATCATTCCATCTAAATGTGAAACCTACTTATTATTGTTGACTAATTTTCACAGGACTTTTCAACCTTAATACTGAAAATGGGCAAGATAAATTTTTTCAGCTGTTTGCTACAGATTTTATGCACAATAATTTGAGATGTTTGATGTATTGCCCTATTCAACTTCCCTCTACTTTATATATGTAAATTATATTTGAAATAATCTCAGCGATTGAAATTTAAATAATTCCAACGTTTCGTCCAGACAAGTTAGCTGGACGAAACGTTGGAATTATTTAAATTTCAATCGCTGAGATTATTTCAAATATAATTTACATATATAATGACTTCTTTATACTCGGCGCCCAATATCTGTCAAACTATTCGTTCTAATCTTGACGAATATTCGTATAAATTCCCTCTACTTTGTTTAAAAGTACTTGTTTAAAAAAATTAAATGAAAATAGTCACTGAGTTATTTCTCATCTTTGAAATTTAGTTCACTTTCGTTTATCAAAGTTTCATGCTGTAGATCATTATTTATACAATGCATGTCGTAAAAGTCTTAATGTAATAACATAATTTGCTAGTCAAGTTTCTACAACCGAATGTCATAGACAACTAAACGATTTTTATTCTCAATTGCCACACTACATTACTGCAGTTTTCCTCTCTTCCATTTTCTATTTAGTTTCTTAGGTTAATACTTAAGTTCATTTAGAAATTGACGATTAGCTGTCAGTGCAAGGTTATTTTTAAAGTGTAGGGTGTGTAGCCATGTCAAGCTGCTAATTTCAGTAATTCATCCATTCAATGTGTACAAAACTACGAAGAAGCTATTAAATGGTTACCACCAATAAAATAACGATAAAGGTTAATTGCTTTTGAATCGTCAAATTGAACTTAAATCTTTTGCACTTTACCCTACTTTTATTCATTATTTATTTTCTATTTATTATAGCTGATTAAGTTTCTCCTAAATCCGAAGCTTAATCTAGATTTACTTCCTCAGTCTATCCCTGATTTCAGTCACTTTATAGCAATTGTCAATAATGTCAAAATGACACGTAAAGTCCTACTACCTTTATTAGTACAGTTTCTTCAGCAATTGGGGTCTCCAAGTGATACTGGCACTTCCGATAACAATCCCAAGAATGATATCGACAGTAATGATGATTGTAACAATGTTGTTATGAAGTCGGACACAAACATTAATATTTCTTCAACAAATACTAAGAGTTTACATTCACTTGATACAAGTCCCAAGGTGGGTCTATTTTTGGTGTAGCCGAATAAACAATTTGTACCCAACCTACTCTTTCCGAAAAAAAACAACTGAAAACGTCTTTTGCCTTTGTATTTCAACTTAAAGAATTATTTATTCCTTTATCGTACTGATTTGATGTATGGTGATTCAATGGTTCGATAAAAAGTATTGTTTTTGTACTGGCTTTTATCATCTGAGAGCTGTTTATCAAGAAATAAATATATTAAACTGCATAAACAAATATATTAAATAATATTTTTATTCATGATCTCAAATGATATGATTTAGTTAGTCTATATGAACTAGTATAGAGGTCCTAGGTGTGTGTTTTTTTTCTAACGTAAAGTTCTCTTGGTATTGTTTGAATACATAAAATTAAGCAATTTATTAATCACATACGAAATCATACAACGAACTGAAAATCTTACATTATCAATTTAAAAACTGACTGTCTATAAAGTGTTGGATAGAGTTATGTATGTGAAACGCCAAAGTTTAATTACATACAGAATTATTTCAAGAGATTTTTATATTTTATACAGTCTTTCTTAATTATAGATTTCAATAAAGTCAAGAACAACGATCTTAATAGAGCAATACAAATTGATTAATTTTGTGGATTTTTTCATTTGCTTACAATCTAGAAATAGTAGTATAAATTATTAAAGTTAAAATACATAAGAAGAATTTTGATTAAATCTGGATTGTAAACAATAATTGTAAAAGAATAAAAAAATTGTTCAAATAATTATTTACACATAGGCTAAATATATGAATATAGTTTAGACGAGAAAACTGAGAAGAGAATGGAAACAGGTTTTTTTTTCAAATGAAAGATTTATATCATAGTCTATAAATTATGGTTAACATAAATTCTGACAAATGTTACATTAATCATCCAAAAAATATTACCTTTTAATCGAATAAGAAAATAGTGGATCAGTATTGATTTAAGAACATCATGATTTCCAGATAACATAAATTTCTTGTAAATGATATAAATGTACGATAGCTAACTATCATAGTTATGTATGATTAGTGTTGTGGGAAACACTTCTGGGACTATTGTCACATTTCTTTATCAAACAAGCTTTCACTTTGTTAATCAGGATTTTTATTAAAGTTGGGATAAATTCACTTTATATGTTTCCTCTCTCTCATCTCATACTTCTTTAAAATGTAAAGTATTTAAATCTCCCAAGTATTTTAAGATTGTAAAACACATTAAATTTCTTTAATATTTAATGGCGAAATTTTATTTGCAGATTCGCAGAATTAAGATAACATGTTGCTTCTGATCTAGGGTTACTTAGAAATAGCTTTTACCAAATGATTCCACGAAAATATTCAAAATCAGTGGCATGTCTTTTACCGAATTTCATTCACCTAACCGTCTCAGTACACTGTGTGTAAGGTATTTATTCCACAACAAATCAGTCTGAGTTTTTTTACAGAACATCGATGAAACTCTTGTGCTCAGTCATTTCAAATACACTAACAAAAGTTTTATACACCTATCACAAGATCTGTCAAGTAATTGTCCGGTTTGTAACTTTAGATGTGGGTCAGTTGTCAGTTTTCTCCAACATTAACTAATATAGTGCATAGTTTGTAAGGAGTATTCATTGTACACAAAATAGTTATTTGTGGACCTAGTTCTTCCAGGATACTTATCTGCAACCGATGTCCCAGTATAACTAACTAGATGAACTCTGTCTCAAGCATTTCAGTTGATTCAGTGTTCGTCAAAGCATGCTTTGTGGTGAGTACACTGTACTGTGTAAACTGTCGAGACTAAACCATTTTTAGTCTAGTTATGTATCCGCGACATTATTTCACAAGAAAGTTCAGAAGGATGAATTAACAAACTGTTGGAATCAATTATCGGAGTAATTTAGAGGTTACTTTGAATAAATGTTTATTCAATATCTAGCAACCAGATTATCTGCAGAATTTCGGGAGCATCGTAACACATGTCTCAACCATACGGGAACATGAATGTTTAAAGTCTTATCGATGACATATCTCGTTTGCGTCTTAAATTATGCATCTAACGTCAGGATTACTTGTTTAACGGCTGCCACCAAGTAAACCTACTTGGTGGAATTCGATAGACTTTTTGGTCTATTCCCTCTCGAAATACTCTCACACGGCCACGCGTATACAGCCTCTGCCAGGGAAGTCCTACTCACTGCCTTCTCGTGGCGGGGGTGTTGTTTACGAAAATGAGAGGACGAAAAGCGAACGTCCGGCGCTATAACCGGATCCCAGTTCTATGGTGCACATGGGCTCCAGTATCCTGCGGGAACAAATGGCGTATGAACCAGCTTTTGGTCACCGGCTTCCATGGGACTGCATCTCCTCACGATGCTCCGCTGTCTTGTGGACTAGACCTTTAGGTCAAAGACTCGGGGTGTGGCCCCCTAAGAAAACCATCTGCTTCGGTCTGGGCACCCGGGCAGTATCTCAGCCCACACACTAAAACTATGATGAACTATCTGCTTTTAGAAAATATTCGTTTCTCTCCGACTAACATTGAAATGACTGGTATTATTATTATTATTTACCACGTCATTTATTCACTATCTCCTATTTCTACTTTTTGTATCCGTTTCGACTCAGACAGCAGCTCGCCTATGGTGAAAATTCAGCTTTATCTAAACGTTCTCGAGTCACTGCCTGGTTGGAAATTGTATGTTACCGCCGAATATGAATACTGAAGCTGGTCAGTATATGACATGGTGTCGTGGTATGAAAGAAATCTGCAAAGGACTAGCTTCTGTTGGTCCTTCACGACTCCCTGGTTGGGGTCCGAGAGACGGTGTAACGCAGTGGCTAGAGACGTTATCAGATATGGCTAAGAATAGAAGCCAGTGGCGATCGTGCTGTAACCTCTTACTTTCTTCATAAAAAGTGGTTGTATCTTCCTTAATTGAAAGATCTCTTCTGATTGTACCTTTCCGTTTCCCCCACCATTGTTCTCTCTCTCTCCCTTTTTTTTATAATTCCCCACGTTCATTACTTTTTTTTCTCTTTTCTCCTTCTCTTCAAAGTATCATTGTTTTGTGTGGCGCATATATATTTGGTGCCCCCCTGTACCAATATTTATGTGTTCAAATAAATAATAAATAAATTGTGCAAGAACAGTAAGGGATGAGTTCTTAAGTTCGAGGGTTCATTATTTTCAGTTGTCAACTAAGGGAATCAGTTGGCCTTACATTATAACTCGCTAATGTGATTGATTACGATCATAGTTGCAGATGAGGGACCAGTTCGAACCGTTAATAATCATTTGGAGCTTGCTTCTCCGATATTCGTACATAGCTTTCGGGCCATTTTGATCAAAACCTAAATATGACAGTCAGTGACGTCGCTAAGGAGTACTAGAGGTTAGTAAATCCTCTTGAGTATCTATCATTAAAACTCATAAAAAAGTTCAACCTGTCTTTAGTTAGCTAGGAGTAAGAAATTAGTGGGAACCAGTTTCGTTCATCGCTGTTGAAGTCGGGGTTACAAATTATTAATTTAGTGAACAAACGCATTGCTTTAGAATGCTTTGGGAATATAGCTTTAGAAAGTGAAAGTACTTTTATTGACGTCAACATTTTATTTCATTAGCAAGGTGATTTCACTACTGCTTTTCAAAATTATAATGAAAACAGTTGAAATTGGGGTAACAGATTCTGTCCATAATTGGACGATAGGAATTGCATTCCTTAATAAGTCTCTCACCATTGGGCATATGTACATATCGAAGACGCTATTGTATTTTCATCTTACATCTTGTCAATATGCAGACGATTCAAAGTAAAGGGCTGTAAAATTCATGACTTCTTGAGAAGTGGAAATGCTGACCAGATTATGTATATGAAGTTTTCTGAACTCCAAAGTATTAATTACATTTTCTTTAAAACAGTTTACTAAGCAAGCTTTCATCTTAATTCCATTTTGTTGAAGTTCAGCTATATACGGAACTAATAAAAAAAGGTATTTCTTTGTCTGACACTTTTAAGGCATTAAAGTCTTGGTTATCTGTGTTGTGGGTGAATGCAGTATTTAGTAGTCAATACGATAATTATAAATTACGCATTTTTAGGATGGACTTTGAAACTGGGTCTTACAAGTTATATTTTACATCACTCGTTTTTCCATAAACATTTCAGAAAGATCTACTGGAAAGGATAATAACCTAAAATCAGTAATGAAATGTTAGACTGTAGTTCAGTAGGCAACTGCGCATAGATTTTGACTACAGAGCTTTAGACTACTTTTAAATGGAATGTGTTTTTGAGTTGATTTAGTTTGGTGATTCTTCATCTAAATTACCAGAAGTGGCTGACAAATCAAGATTTGTGTCATATGAAGTCCATAGTCCTATTCCAGTGTTGGTTGGGATTTTTCCCCTTGATTCTTTGCAATGCGGATTAGGTTCTTGGAAGATAAATGTATCGTTCATGCCTCCTTTGTTAGATGCTTGTTGAATAATATTTACTATTGTATTATCCTGTTATATCTGTTGACATATTAACATGTAGTTATTCTTATCCTACTTTTATTAAAAGAAAGTTTTTGCCAATAATAAATCAAGAACCAATAAATACCTTACAACATAATTTTGCTTTTAACAATATAGGTTTATTCTCACCACATTCTACAAATCTCATGTTTAGTACTTTGTTTTTTCTAATTTTCAGTGTTCATCGGATCTGAAAGATAAGGCGGGGAATGCTACTGAATTCGCTCTAAAAGATGTCATTCCTTCTCTGAAGAAGTGGCTTTTACCCTTACATCCTCATGAACGATGTGAATTTCTGAGATCCTTCTTTCAAAGCTCTCTAAAAGCAAATGATAGTCCATCACTGGACTTACTAAATAGTTTGTGGACCAGTATTTGGTATGAAACTAGAAAAACTTCTAAAACTGTTAAATCTGCCGTTGGTACACAAACACCTATACCGAAATTAATGTGGTTGAAGTCACACCAAACCAGACGTGTTGCGAGTATGGTTCAAGGTAATAGTTCAGCAATAAGAGCAGTAAGTTCATTTAATTTACACATTAAATTCACCCATAAAATCTAGCAAACTGACATTGATTCTTTGACAATCTATTTTCTTTTATCCCACTAAATATCATATCTATCACCTGTCTTGTAGATACTTTTGAACAATGCCAGTGATAATATTTCCTTTTTAAATACAAATTGAATGATTAGTTACCATTATGCAGTTAAACTAATCTTAATAATCAAGAAACTAATGTTTTCTTGACATTTATTTCTTTGAAGTGGATGTATTTGTAATCATAGTTAATCGTCCTTAGATTTAATTCTGTACAATATTTCTATAAAGTTATATCTTTGTAATTCAAATCATGAGTGATTACCTTAACATTTTAAATCATTTTGGTTGTCTACATCTTCTAATCAGGTCATATAGAAAATAACTTTGGTGGATTTTACTTTTGAAGTTTCATTTTTCTTTGCTTAATGAAACTTTATTAATGTTCGTTTTAAAGTCTTATAGTATTCTTTACCTTTAGCAGAAAACAATTTCTGATATAAAATCAAATAAATATAAAAGAAATATTCTTTGTAAAACGTTTTTCACATTGACCAAAAATAAATTTTATAAAGTTCACGTTTTTGTTTATAGAGCAATCCTACTTTCTTCAATAATATTTCAACTAACTATCAATTTCTTAAGTACAATTCAGAACCTTTGAAGTATCTAGTTTGATATTCATCAAGCTAGTTTATTGATTTTTTAGTATTGTTTTCTTATTCAATGTACTAAATTATTATGGTCACTTCCATGGAATTAGAAAGATTTATTTGTTGTTAATGCACTACGTTCAAATTAAAATTATATTAATTACTATTCTTTCTTTGGTGACTCGATACCACACAAATTCGTTCTTATGTAATAAAATATATATTCTTTGCTGAGAAGATATTCAACCTACGTAACATACTCATAAAAGTCATATATTTTTAGATTTCAGGTAAAATGGGAGGTTTCAAATCTGCTCGACGTTTTACTTTATCAGATACCAACGATCTTACATTATATAGTGAAAATATGTCTAAAGGTCGAGTTGATCTCTCATCATCACGTTTTGTTCATCGTATATCTGATGAACATTTATGTGTTTCCGATTCTGAAAATTCTAAGCCAAGTTGGTTAGAGGTAAAGCCAAATTTACTTTTATTATATTAAAGCTTTATATCTATAACCTATTCTTTTTTATAATGTATTATTTTTTGAATATTTGACATACAGAATTTATAGAATTCGTTGCATGAATTCGATTTTGTATGTTTGTATTTGATGAACGCTATTCTTATAGTTTTTATTTTGAGTCTTATACAATATTTAAAAGTAAGTAAATTGTACTTAAGAGACAAGGGATAGCTGTATTAACCCTTGTAGATTTAAGGAATTGGTATTGAATACAAATATGTGATGTTATTCAATGAGCTAATTTGATTAGTCAATATTAATAAACCAATGTATCGTGATTGTTTACAGATTTATGGTCTTACACTAATTAACAACCGTTTGCGCGCGAGATCGAAGGTCCTGGGTTTGAGTCCTGCGTGCAGGATCATGGATGTACACTACTGAGGAGTCCCATACTAGGGCGAAACTGTCGTTCAGTATTTCCGGGTTTTCAATGGATGTCTAGCTTAGACCGACTCGTGAATTCAACTGTTAAAAATACTACAATCTCCATAAATCCCCTTACTGATATATGAATTAATCTGATGTCATATTAATAGTAAGACTGCCTTGCGATATCCAGTAAATATAATTAGTTATCATCAAATTATGCTTTTCTATATTACATACGATGAATGATATTGATTTTGAGGGATTTATTTTATGCTTCTTTTTAGTTCATTAGACTTTTTGTCTGAGCAAAGTTTTATGACGTTTGCGTTTAATAGACTAAAGTACAGCAACACTTTTTTTTAGTACAAATAGTTTATAATATTCTCCTTGTTAACTTGTATTTCTGTTGTTATATTCCTTTAATTCAGACTGAATATTTGACTCGCATTCCTGCCTGGTTACCGTCTACTTTCACATCAACTTCTTTAGATTCAGCTGAAGCAGTCAGTTATAGACTTTATCGTCGTTTGTCAGGAATGCCATTGTCTAAGGATTCCGAAGATGAAGTGTCTTATGGCCATACATCGTTTCAAAAAGATAATCATGATGTTCACATCATACATGATAAAGATCAGGACATTGATTATAATAAACTTGAAGATGATGAATTAGCTTTACTTCGAACATCACTTACTGATTGTCGACAATTATTTATAGATAAACAAACATCAACGTCTAATTTATCCAATTATACTAGTTGGCTTTCTAGTCATCCGGATCATATTACCGAACAAGGTCTTAAATTCCTTAAATTAGATCTTCAGGTTAGTTAGTTATTTTACATTTTTAAAAATTTAATAATGACATTATTAATTGGCAAGGCTGCAGTAGATTATTTAAAATGATATGATCGAGGTACAAAATGTGCTCCCTAAACTATCTATCCTACAAATACTAGCTATTTAACATTTTCTACCAAATATTATACGTGTGCTATACTCTCTCTTTGAGTCGGTCAATCATAAGCAACGTAGGACTTGTGCATCGGTTCAGTTTTCCACACTGTATTAACATAGGTATCGAGAGAAATCTCAGTGTTGTAGAAGTAGTAATAATAATATAAATGTTAGTAGAAAACATTAAGTATAGACAATATGATATGAGAAAGAATTAATTTGCGGAATAAAAAGATATAAGGTAATTTTAGAATTCAATATCTAAGGGAGATTGAAGAATGAGTGCATCTGTGTCATTGCGACCAGTTCTTAACCATATCTCCTACAATTAATTACGATAATTACGCGTTCCCTAAGTACCTACATTACACAAACCAACAACCAGTAACTTCTTAAAGTGATTCTTTATCTTGATTTAAAATGTTCCTAATTATTTTGCTGATTATTTGTCTTCTGTGCTTGTCTTTATAAGTAGAGACTCATCATTTTCTCTACTATGGAATCATTTAGTCATCATAACTTTAGTTTGTATTTAAATACATAGTACATGTGTTAAAAGGTGTGGATTTCTTCAGATTTTTCTGAATGTAGATAAAGATGTGATGTTGATTTATTTGGAAATAATAACAATACAAGTCTTATAAAAATGGACTACTCGGTTGTTTGAAAAGTAATATCGACCTAATCGTACACGTTCGTGGTATGAAAGAAAGCTGCAAAGGGCTAGCTTCTGTTGGTCCTTCACGACTCCCTGGTTGGGGTCCTAGAGACGGTGTAACGCAGTGGCTAGAGACGTTATCAGATATGGCTAAGAATAGAAGCCAGTGGCGATCGTGCTGTAACCTCTTACTTTCTTCATAAAAAGTGTTTATATCTTCCTTAACTGAAAGATCTCTTCTGATTGTACCTTTCCGTTTCCCCCACCATTGTTCTCTCTCTCTCCCTTTTTTTTTATAATTCCCCACGTTCATTACCTTTTTTTTTCTCTTTCCTCCTCTTCAAATTATCATTGTTTTGTGTGGCGCATATATATTTGGTGCCCCTCTGTACCAATATTTATGTGTTCAAATAAATAAATAAATAATAAATAATCGTACACGTTATGAAATTTTAAATATTCTATTTAACTTTTGTACTTTTAATAGTTCAATTTGATTGTTTTTTGTTACAAGCATTACAAAACGATATGATAATAATATAAAATATCCTTAGAAACAATTATCTCATTATAAAATTGGATTGTAGCTGACTGATCTATTCAAATATATAAAAACGTTTTTCGAAAATAGATTATCTTGTACAAAATAAAGTCATTATATTGCAACCAGTATTCATATTAAGTTAGGTAAATCGAAATCGATAGCACTGCTACAGAGATCCATTTACTCAAAATATTGAAAGTCATATGTATTCATCAGTTTACGTCTTTCATAGTATATCTCTCCCACTCTTTTAATATTTTACATCTGTTGATGTAATTATTCCCACTGGCTTGTGCATTGTAGTATTCATTACACCATTAGTAACAATAGTCGTTTACATATGCAATAATTCTGAATAGTATTCAGTTTATCTTAATAGAATGATGTTCTTAATTTCCCTTTGGTCGGTATTATACAAGTTTTGTAAATTGAAATACCTGTCTTTCGTTCTCTTTTCTAAACATTCCATATTGTAGCCTGCGAAAACTGAAGATATAGGTAAGCACTTTTTATCCATTTTATTTTAATTATGTTTATTCATCTTTACTGTTACTTTTTCTCCAAACGATATACAAAAATTTGAAACAGTAGGTCCTTTTCCAAGATTCTATGGTACTCTTAGTTATCAAAACCTACATATCATACATTTTGTAATAAAGCCGAGTAAATCAACTTGATTAGTCAGTATGCTTGTTCTCGGACTTACTTTAAGTTTTTTGTTGTTGATTTTAGTTGTATCGCGGACTTCCATATCCTACAGTCACTATCATATATTAAAAGTGGAAATTGCATAGTATTAATAAAATGTGCGTTAATTGATTAAAAATTTACAATATGACCAATTAGCCTATCTCCCTTATCAAAATACTCTAATGACTTTCTAAAAGCATCGGTGGTTTTTTAAATTAACCTTAGATTTAGAAATCTACTGACTAATGCCAATTGGTGGTTTTACGTTATAGTTTCAGCCATTTCTTTGATTAATTTAGTTTTGGCGATCAAACACTATCTCCTATCGTCATGCAACAGCAGGTGTAACTGAAGACCGTATTCACGAAACTGTGGGTATTCAATTATTGTTAGTAAAATTTATTATTTGCATTTTAAACAATTAATCACTGAGTAGGTAGTAACTAATTGGATGTTTATTTTTCAGTCATTATTGTTAATTGAATTACAATGTGGTCAGTTGTTCTTTAAGTGATTCGACATTTCACTGCTTTATGCTTGCATAGAATGAAATGAAAATTGAGTTATACAAATCAAATTAATTTGTCACAATAACAAAATTTTATGTTAGGATCTTTGGAGTTATATTGTTTATGTAAAATGTTATATGTTTCAGTAACAATAGTAATATTGAGTAGGGTCTGTAGAATATGTGACTTCAGTATTCTTTTCTGTAAGACATTATGCAGATTTTCATTTTTGTGATCAGACTAATTCTATGAAATTCAGTGGTAATATAATAATCCATATGTGATATATTATTAGACAATATGTAGTTTTTTGTGAGTGAACAAGTATACTAACATTATTTGACATTTAATTGAGGCTCAGAATAAAAAGGACAAATAATTATTCTCACAGTTGAAATCACGAGTCAATCTAAGCTAGACCAACATTGAAAACCTGAAAGCACTGGATGGCCGTTTCGTCGTAGTATGGGACTCTTCAGTAGTGCGCATCAACAGTTATCCGCCTGAGACAATGGATGAAGGGTAGCGCAACATGGATTATTGTGACGTATATACAAGCTCAATTGGATAAACTAATAACAGATAATTCACAATCATACGCTAGTTTATCAAAGTAATTATCTTTGTATAGACTTTGGAGGTGATTAATCTTAAGGATTTTTCAAATAACGGTTACTACTTACACGGTGGTCCTCATACAACTGTTCTGTCAATGGTTCCCAGTTGTTGTCGGTATAATGAACACGATAAAATCCAGCTTGTTTAATGTTGAATAAATACCAAGAATTTTCTGTAACACCTAGTGTTTGAGTCATTGTCTCTGTTGAAATTAAAGTAGATGTTTGTGGAAATGCTATGAAATTACTGAATGTATGTATTCATAAGTGAACATCATTGCATAAGAAAGAAAAGAGGTTAATGTATTATCATCAGTGTACGGAAAACCAAATAAATAATTTAACATGATCCAAATTTACGAAGCCAAAAGTTTTAGGTTCGAGTCTTTGAGTGAACATTAACACTAAGATATTCCGAACATATCCAACTGAATATCTATTTTCTCTTCTGTTAGAATCTTAGTTGGGGGATATGTTGATCATTCAAATTTCTCTTTGGTTTATACTTGTTTTACCTTCACATATAAACTTACTTCTTATTATTAGTTTGGAACTGCTTATCGAGGTACATATAGTTATCGAAAGCTCACCGTGATATGTTACATTGTTTAACTGAGGGTTAGGAATTTTAAGTTGTTTACTTGAGAATTTGTGTTGGCAGCCCATAGTTGTTACATTTTTCACACTTATTTGTTGGTTACTCATCAATTTCGTTTCAATTTCTTGCTACCGTTTGTGTTATGTCTCCCGGATATTATTATTTTATACATTCATTGTACTGCACATAATTGTACTATCAAAGTGTTATTTCATGCTCTATGTTCTCAGTTGATCTGTGAATTTGATCATAATTTACATTCTTTCAGAATCAACTAAACAACGGGGTTTCCATTTACATATTTTCATGTTATTCAGTGTTTTTGACAAGGTGCATTTGAAGCTTTTACTTAATTGTTACATTATAGAAATTTCTGGACACCCTATGTGTCGAAGCTTTGTTTTAAACATGGTGTTCTCATTGACCATTTTCAGTAATTATTCTTTTAAAATATGTTTGTGTAAATGATTTTCTTTGTTATTATTTCAAGCCATGACACTAAAAACAACTAAATCAATACTTACTAACGAACAACAAAGTCACCCGTCTTTTCATGTTACATTTGATCTTGGCTGTACAGAAGATTCCAAATTAATGATATCAGGCGAGTAAGTTTTGATTAAATCTATCATTGGAATTAAGTGTCGAACTATTCTTGTACAAAGAGATAATGTAATGTTTCACAGTTTTGCTCCAAGTATTGGGTACATTACTGTTTCTGAGTATTTTAATCTAATTATAGACTAATGAACAGACAGTCGATTGTAAATTTACAACTGTTTTACACCGCTTTTATGTGAGAGATTGAGAAACAGAGCAAAATGTTAGGGTGGAATAAATTAAATAATTATTCTTTCAATTTTGTGATTTTGTCGAATAACCTAATGTATTTATTGGTTAGTGTTTTGTTTTAAACAATTAGGTCTTTAGTTCATATCCTTTTGCACATAGTTTGATTAGAATATGGATGTAATATCTCTAGTTGTCTTACTTTTAACCACAGTTGTTTTAAGTAGACATATAGGTGATACCAAAAGACAAGAGTATGGAGTCGATACAGTTAATCAAATATCAGACGTGATGGAGGAAGTACTGTTGAAAAAATGTTGATGGATTATTGAGAATAGAATCAGGTTTTGCTGACTAGGGGGAAACGAATTGATTTCCCACTGACAACCTCATTGTTTTGTTATGTGTCAATAAGTACGGTGATTGTAATTAATCTTCATCTTGGAGTTCTTGTGAATGTGAAACATGTCAACAAAGCTGGTCACCTAAAGTAGTCCTTCGTACGGTGGTTATAACAGCTTGTGAGCAGGGTCAACATAGGCAAAGATAAAGTCTCAAGTTATCTACTTGTGCTTCGAAACCACCTCGCTAGCTTATATGATCCCATTAGTTGTCCCGTAGATCTCAGAAATTGGGACGATGTCCTGTCGCGTAAGTTACAGGCGGTTAACAACTGTAATCGCTTCTCACCCGAGTCCAAGGTGTATTGCATAGCTGTTGCCCCTCATAGAGTGTCTCTTCAAGAATATGGTCTACTGGGTTTCCCACCCGTACCACTATATTGATGTTGGGGATGATGGATCCCTACAAATCACTTGGTAAAAGTCTTATTTTCGTAACTTTATTTTGGAAATTTGAATTTCTCGTTTTCACGCCAAAAGTGCCTGTTTTTACTTTCAGATTGTATTTCCCACTTGAAAGGACCCTAAATATCATTGGTTGGTTGCCTCTCTTAATGTGCTGTTTCCCAAGAACATTTTTATGTTGTGTGTAATATGCTGGAGTTGTGTGCGTGTTGCTCTTGTTTCTGGCTGCTTGTGGAATATACCTTTCCCTCATCTCAACCAGGTCTTTTCCCTCTAGTTAGGGGAGCTGGGACGCATCGGAATAGTTAACTTGTTTTGTCGTTGTATCGTTGATCTTTTGTCCCGTTTGCCGATTAAGGTGATTTCGTAATCTCTTAAAACTTAGCAATTGATCAGCAGCACGTCAACCAAATGTTCCTAACGTAAAGTTTGTGATCGAATAGCATAGGTCAAGAACTGCTTAAGCCTATACAAATCACGTATGGACGTTGTTGGGATCGTTTGTAAGTAGTTATAATCTTCTAGTGGTGTCTGGTAAAGCATATGGTATGCTCTTATTTTGAGGAATGTCTAATGATAGCGATGGTAATGTGAATTTATCATGTCCCATAGCGAATCGGAAACATTTACGCACAGGAATATGACAACAATATCATGCATATAAAGTGCAACCGAAAATAGAACAGGTTCAGGTTATGATCAAAAACGTTACAAACTTGAAGTTTTCACAAAAGTTTCTGTAGATCAAACGAAATTGTAGCAATTAGTTCCATTAAACACATATGATTTATCTTAACCTTTTAATCCTTCCAGTTATTCTGTTATTTATGTGCATTACCTTGAGAATATGCGTATGACAGAACTTGTATCTCTTTCATGCTTGTAAATACTGTTACTCATCATTTATTGAGTAGGCACGCTTACCTTCTCCGTTTCTCATCTTTCATTGGTTGTCTACACTAAAAGATGTATAAAATACATGTATTTGTAGGCACTTTCATATTTGACTTGTTTTATTCCTCTGCATGCAATAACGCGATTAAGTCAATAAAAGCAAAGCAAGTTAGTTAAGGAACTATATTTCATCATTCCTCATTGATATCAAACGTAGTTAGCCACAGACACACTTGAATCAAATGGAAAACGTAACAAAACAGATATTATCAAGATGTAAATATGTTAAAAGTTAGTTTTAGAATAATCTTAAAATAGTTACAATACTTAATTAAATGCTTGTTCACAATTTAAATAAAGACTATTAAACACTAAAGTGACATTTTTCTCTATCTTCTAAGTAGTTATCATTTGACTTTGTAAATGATCATTAAATATCATCAAATGTATTATTTTTTCTTCGCATTCCTTGTAAGCTCAATAGAGATATTAGTGAAAATTTATATCACAGGTAAATATTTATTATTCTTTATTAAGTTTACTAAGAATACGTATCATGTAACAATTATGTTTCATGTTTCATTTAGTCTTTAATTATCAATTTATCATATCATTTCTTTATAAAATAATTAATTACCTATATGCATTTGTGTATGTGTATGTGTGAAAGTGTACTTTTTTTCGCTCTCTCCTTCCCTCTCCATATTTTTCTACTTTAGGACAGTGGATGAATAATTTCATGAAACCAAATACAATTCAATTATTGTTAATTAATAGAAAATTGAATAATAATTATAACATTAATTGGTTAAAACAATTTATATCAAATTATTCACATGTTATTCGTGTTAGTTTTTTAAAATTTACTTTAAATTTCTTCTCAAAAACATAATCATTTTTCTGTTGTGTACATCTTGTATTTTTGTTCGTTCGTTTTCCCTTTTCTAAATACGTTAAATATTTCAATGTTTAGTTAATTTATACTAATACTTTTCTGATTATATATTATTTTATTATATAATCATTAGAGTTATTTTATGATTTTCTTGTTGTTCATAATTTCACTTATTTCTTGGATCTGTTGTTGTTGTTTTTGTTATTCTCCTTCTTTCTTCTCTGTTTTTTTATCAATTAGTTCTATGTTTGTTTTGACAATTGTTGTTTACATTTTCAAATCAGTAATTTCAATTTCATTCTGTTTACTTTAATTGTTTATATTTTTTATGTTTACATCTAGAATATTTCTGTTTTATATTTATATTGTTAATAATGGTACTAATAATAAAAATTTCATCTTATTAATTTTTTGATTATGTTCTGTCTTATTTTTTTCCGTAATTGAATGTATCATATTGAATCACTATCATTGACCTAATTTAAAAGTTACATAAATGAAGTTAGAGGATAATGTAATATTCATTGATGAAGTTCATGATTGGTTTATCTCTCACTAAAACAAAATTGAGTTCATGTTTACATATTTCATGATCGATAATATTAGTATAATTAAATATGTCGATATTGTTCTAGGAATTATCAGTGATTTAATTGTTAAAGTATTTACATTTCAAGTAATAGGTTGCAAAGTTCGAACATTTCACTATGTACTCCATTTCGGACAATAGGGTATCAATGCTAAACATCACATAAACACTGTGATTAGAAGTAAGATAAATAAATCGATAATTGGTCATTTAATTACATTATACGCTAAAAAGTAGATATCTGATTTCATGTCATCGTATAATCTGTTTCCTATTGTCTTGCTTCACATTTGTGTTTTGTTGTATGTTTATAGATGTAACAACATAACTTAATATTTCACTTTAGTAATGACAATGTAAATAATCAATATTGTTGTTTTTGGGCACGTTTATACAGGATCATGTTATGTACGTCTTTTGGTTTAGTGTGTGAAAGTATAAGTGATGATAGTTTGCAAATACCTAAATGTACCAACTGGAATAATATACATACTAGAGCATATCCAAATATTATCTCGAAGATGGAATAGGAAATTCATAGATATTTCCAAACCAAAAACATAATTATTTAGTAATCCCATTAACATTCCTGACAGTTGTATTTTTTACATGGTTTCCCACAATTTTAAACTTCACCAAAACCAATTTTTTGCATGACATTGACCCAATTTGAATCTATGTCTTCGGCTTAAATCTTCAGTTTGATTGTATAGAAAATGTCGGCATAACCCGGCCTGACAGGTCGAAGTCACTGAAATAGTTCGAGTTCAATGCTTTCAAGCTTATTGTGCAGTTATTTTTATGCTACTAATCTACACTATAAACTAGTGGTCACCTACCAAAATTTCTCTCGTATTGGTTATTTCTTTACTGTGAAGCAATCAAACCATTTATTAATTATCATGATTATCTAGTTCGAATTGATAAGTTATTTGCTCATATCACTGTACTAATTACATTTTTCTAGATGTCATCTTATATATGATTGTAATGCAACGTGCACGAGTAAGTTTTAAATTTTTGAGATACGTGAGTAAATAACGATTGTTGGACGATATATTATAAACCTTAGTCCTCTGATTAAGTCAGACTTACATATTTCACTAATTTATGGATTATCCGTCATCAAAATAAGTGTGCTATATTGTTTAGTCACTTGGTTTACTGACCACATTGATAACTTAACTGGTATGATTTAGTTAATTTTAAATAGGGGACGTAATTGTTGCTTTTCCCAACGGTCGATTGATAAAGCTTCCAAGTTTTTGTATATATAGATTGGTTTTTAACTGGGAATTCTACTCTCCTCTACTATTTGCTATTCTTTGTTCAGTTTACATGATGGAAGTTACATTACGTAACTCCGAAAAGTGTTTCTTATCTCTTCAACTGATAAGATTTGTTTACACATATATAAGTTATTTTGTATGGTGAAAACAAATAATCTTATGCTTATCTCACATGTTTGTTTTGTATAATCTATCATGCACTATTCTTGTATTATATAAAAATGATTGTTTAATTTTTGGTCAAATACTCAATTTAACCAAAGTCAATCTGTATATTTGCCAAAGTGTTAGTGTTGTTTAAATTCACTAATGTTAACATTTATGAGTATGTTCAGTCTTATTTAAATATGAAGCTTAGATAACATTTTTAATAATAGGTTTACTGGATTTTTAGAATTAGTAAAAAGATAATTTTGTTTTAGAAAAAGGCTAAATTAAGGTTTCTTGTACTTCAGTTTATTAGAACCAGTACTAGACGTTATTTAGGTTTGTATTATAATACCAGCTGTGGTCGTTTGATATTTTCCAAACTTCATTTCCAATTACAAACTATTAGTTTTTATTTCGGGTGATCTGATTTTACACTGGATTTATTAATAAACCTTTCCTAGTTAACTAATAATTTCGATTGAAAAATAAAAATTTTTCTTTGATCATTATGACTGTTTCTTCTGTGTGTTGAATAACAACAGTAATTTCAATATGATAATTCGTCATCTTTTATAGAAGTAATTATCTTGATTATGGTTGACTTTTAGAGTAAGATAGTTGGTAACAAGTTTAAAATACTTTTTCTACAGCCTTTTCTGTTTGGCTTTGTTGAACAGTGCATAAAAGGCGTATACTTGATTATTCTATTATTTGATCTTTTTTTCTCTTTTTTTTGGTATTTACAGAATGATAAACTAATTTTCTTTTTATGATTTAGGCCTTGAATATATTTAAAAAACTTCACCGTACATGTGAAAATGTATTTAAAGCTGATATCGAAACACTACAAGGTAAATTTCCATATTTGTGAGTTTATTCACTCACATATAAATTCAGAATAATTTACAACTGTCATGTTGAGTTAATGTTGTAGGTTAAAGTATCACGAGTAACACACAGTTTCTTTTTTTTAAATTTTTTACATTCAATGTGTTAATGTTTACCAAAAAGTTAGTGGAAGTTAATGTCCCGTATATTTTTGTGATTACCTCTGAAAATCTAATATCCAACTCTTTATGAACAATTTTGTTTTACTCATTTTACTATCATTTAAACTATTGTTGAAAAGAAGTCTTTTGAACACCGTTATCATACAAATTTATTTAGCCAAGGATAAATGTTGATAGCAAAAAATGCAGGAGAAGACGACCAGTGTAGCAGCAGCAGTAGGTCTCAATATACACAAAGGGAAAAGTAAGATTCTCCGATATAACAGCATGCACCAATCAGAATTGACGGAGAAGATTTGGAAGATGTAAAAACCTTTACATATTTAAGCAGCATCATCGATGAACGTGGTGGATCTTACGCAGATGTGAAGGCACGGATCTCTAAAGCAAAAGCAGCATATTTACAACTGAAGAACATCTGTAACTCAAAACAATTGGCAACCAACACCAAAGTCAGAATTTTCAATACAAATTTCAAGACAGTTCTACTGTATGAGGCGGAAACCTGGAAAACTACGAAATCCAGAAGATACAGGTGTTTATTAACAGTTGTCTACGCAAAATACTTCGAATCCGTTGGCCAGACACTATTAGCAACAACCTACTGTGGGAGAGAACAAATCAGATCCCAGTGGAGAAAGAAATCAGGAATAAGCGCTGGAAGTGGATAGGACACGCATTGGGGAAAGCACCGAACTGTGTCACATGGCAAGCCTTTACATGGAATCCTCAAGGTCGAAGGAGGAGAGGAAGACCAAAGAACACATTATGCCGGGAAATGGAGATAGACATGAGAAAAATGAACAAAAATTGGATAGAACTGGAAAGGAAGGTCCAGGACAGAGTGAGTTGGAGAATGCTGGTCGGCGGCCTATGCTCCATTGGGAGTAACAGGCGTATGTAATTAAGTAAATAAATATTGATAATAAATAAATGGACGGATAGGTTGGTTGAATTTTCTAAAAAAAACTATAAATGGATGGTTACGTAGAGATTCTTTTTATCAATTTTTTAATGAATAGCAAGACTTGTATTATAGATATTGGTTTAATGTACTTTTTAAAAACTGACATCCATTAAAAAATCATTAAGTTTGAAAATGTTGAGTGACGATGACATGATATAAGTCAAAGTAGGGCACAGCTTCATTTATTCTCTATCGTCATTTAAATCTTGATTCAATCATTATTTCCAACTTTCCATTATTCGATTATATTTATTCCTTTTTTGAACTTGGTTCTTTATGTTTAGGTCTTCATTAATTTTGGTGAAATTTCTCATCCTGTTCCTTAACTTGTTTATATCTCCTCTGTTTGTTCTGAAGTAAGGTATGACAATTTAGATCGATGCACACCTTGCAGGTTGTGCATTAACATAAGCTGACTGACTAATTGATTCAAAAGCTACTGAAAGACCGTAATAAAACTAAAATGTATACTTTGTATGATTGTGAACGTAAAGTGGAAAATTCTGTGATGATTTACACACCCAAACTCTGATACTTCACTTATATTAACTACAAGTTGAATTTTATCTTTTGAACACCTCAACGTACTTTCCTTTTCTGCGCGACTTTAATCCGTGAAAGACCTTTGAGTGATACTTAAGTAGCCTTGATAAACTCCAACCACTTACTAGGCTCAAAGTAAGTTTATAAATTAATGCAAGGAATTAGTGTTAAGAGTTAAGTTTGGAATAAAATTTAGGGTTTTTATTACAGACTTACATCATCTACAATGCTAGTATCGTGTTTAGCCAATTGTATGAATGAGTTTTGCAAGAAATTTCAAGAGGCATTTTCGTCAATCTGGTTTGTTCGTTCATGAATTATAGTGCCGCCGCCTTTGGATGGTAACATGTCTCAAAGTTGGTCGCAGTGGCATACATGTTTTCTCAATCTGTATTCAACCACATCTCATGCTTCTTAATCACCTTAAGTATTTGTTTTTTATTATATCAATCTATTTCTTTCTTTCTGAATTATTTCTCCTATGTCTAATATTTTTTACTATAATTTATGCCGTTACTATGTCTACTACTCTGGCAATTCGCTGTGCTGATGTGTTGTGGCAGCTCGAACCGATTTACGTTGGGTATGATATATGATATTTATTGCAAATCATATATGATTACAAATAATGAGGGTGATATCACTGGCTTCTCTGGAGTAGTTAGTATATAATACATACGGAGAAACTAGTTGAAAATAAAGTTCTTCAGTCCTTTTGTCTTTTATTCTAAATATCTAAATAGGAACTTTTGATATCAATAATCTACTTTATTATTAATCATTCGTATTTATTTTATATGTCAGTTCGGTATAAATTTTTTCTTGCTTATTTATAAAACATTTGTGCCTATGTGTAT